GCGCTCCAGCCCTTCCCACAACCAGCCGCCTGTGCTTCCACCGGCGACCCGCGGGCCGGGCCGGCGGCCTCTGCGCCCGCTTCCTGCCTCCCTGCGGGCGCGTCTCCATGCTCCTCACACTGTGAACCCCACACACGCGTGGCTCCCCGAGCAGACGGGAAGCTCCCTGCGACCGCGTGTCCGTGGCCAGCAGGAGCCCCGAGGAAGTGGGGAAAGCGAGGCCGGGATCCGCACGCGGGGGCCGCGCGAGGGGGCGGGCAGGGCACTGCGGGAGGCCATGGGGCCCCCCCCCCCCCCCCGCCCTCATCCGGACCCCGCTGAGGCTCCGCGAGCCCCGCCACCCGGGAGAAGAGCCCCAAGGCGGACAAGCCCTCTCCCCCTCATGTTCTGGAAGCGGCTCACTGCCGAGAAGCCTTTCCCCCTGACTGGAGACCCTCACCCGACACAGGCCCTCAAACTCCCTCCAGATCCATCAGAACAAAATGCCCCTTAACCAAACCGTGGTTTGGCCTCCCTTCCTCCCAGGACCCCTGACCTTGGTCCCACTCAGGGGGAGCCCACAGAGAGCCCCCCACCCCCGGGCCCCCCATCCCCCACCACCGGTGCTCACAAGCTCACAGCCAGGACAGGATTCTCTCCGCAGTGACAGCCTAGCCTTTCCAAATGAAGTCTCTCCTTCCTCAGTCCAGACTCGGGTTTTATTTGTCAAATCCCTCCCTGTGGGACTCACACCCTCCTCGAGGGGCTGAGCCGAGCCCAGAAGCAAACAGGAGCAGTTTCGGTGGGAGTGCGGACTCGGCCCCCAGCCACAAGCCCCCACCCCACAGTGTAGCTCTGACAGCGAGGCGGCCACGCGGCCAGGGAGGCCTGGAGACAGGTCAGCGCAGTGAGAGGAACAGGGAGGGGAGTGGTCACGACCAGGGCCACTGTCCCACTCCCCCGGCTGCCCGGGAGGACAAGGCGCGGCCCTTCAGAAACGCTGGGGACGTGTTCCCTAGTGAGAAGTCAGCTTCAGGCTTGTCCAACACAGTGGGGGTGGGTCGGCCCGGCCAGCCCGGGGGCGGGGGCGACCTCGTCCGGCCTGACCGGCCCCTTGCACTGGACTCGCCCCCGTGCGGCTTTCCCAAGCAGCCTCCCCAGGGGTTGTGTGGGACTGAATGGGGCTCTGGCGCACGGGGGCCGCTTACCACCTGCTCGGACGTGCTGAGACCACCGGGTGGGCAGGGACAGACCCAGGCCTTGACCTGGGGCCCCGAGCCCTCCTTCGAGGGGGGACGAGACTTCCCTGGGGCCACGTGCGAGGCTCCAGACAGCCTGCACAGAAGCCGCTGAGGGAGAGGGAACTTCCAGAGCCTTCCATGCCCTCTTTGACCCGGACGGGATTTGCTCCCCCCCATGGAGCTGGTAGAGACTCGTTCTGTGAGCTGTCCGCTCCCCCCGGGGTTGTGTGTGTTCTCACAGCTTTGACTTTAATTACAGTCGAGCTCCCACTTGCAGGATTAAATCACTCTTGGATAAAAGAGGAAGGTCTGGGTCATGTCTGAACTGGACCTCGAGCAGTGGGGAGGGCTGGGGGGTGAAGGGAGCCGTGGGGAGGGCTGGGAGGTGAAGGGTGGCTGGGCCCCAGAAGGCGTCTCGTGTGCTCAGCCCACATGCGCGCAGGGGAGAGGTTGTGCCTGCTTTGGCTGGGGGCTTGGGCTCCGGGCCCGGCCCCTCCCTCCTTCCCCGTCTCCAGGGGCTCCAGGGGGTTTGCACTCTGGGGGCTCAGCAAGGGTCTTGTCCGGGCGCAGGTGCACGTGCAGGGGGAGCTGAGGTGGTCCCGCCGTCCCCTTCCTGGGGTCCTGACACCCTGGGGCTCCGGAGCTCTGTCACCCGGTGCAGACACCGTCCCACCCCCTCCCACTGCCTGGCCCGGATCCCACGGCCCACGGAACCCTGCACTCGTGGTGGGTCTGGCTGTTCCCGTGGGCAGTGGTGCGGGTCTCGATGCCGCTGGCCTGACACCACCCCCCCCCCGGCCCTGGCTCTGTGGACAAGCCGCTGGTGAATCCCGGCAGGACTCTCTAGGAACCGGGGGCCACGAGAAGCCTCCCGTGGCGGCCGGCACCACAGCCTCCCTGCCCCCCAAACACCCCCCGTGTCACCAGCAGCACAGGAAGAGCAGCTGACCCCTGGGCTGGGGCCACTGAACGGCCACCCTGAGCTTCCCCACGTGCCTCCCTGGGGACGGGGGCAGGACTCGTGCGCGAGTGCGGCTGGGCTCCGGGGGGCGGGTGTCCAGCAGGGGTGTGGGGGGCCGGCTCTCTGGGGTTCAGGGTGCACGCGTGTGGTCGGCCGTGGTGGCCCTGGTGTTCTCGGCGGCACCCGGCCCGGGAGGCAGAACGGAACCCCTCCGTGGCAGCTGCGTGGGCAGTCCCGCCTCACTGAGGTGCAGGCCGCGGCCGCTCCCCAACGCCCTTCCCAGCCTGGCAGACCCCGTCCTCGTCACGCTCAGAATGGAATCTGCCGGAGTCCGGGGAGTGCCGTCGGGGTCCGTGGAGGGCCACGTGGCTCTCAGCCCCGCTCCCCCCGGGGGGCCATCCTCCCGCCCCACCCCAGGCCCGCAGTGCCTGCCGGGCGGCTCCCCCTGCCTCAGTGCCTCCCCATGTGGCCTCCAGTGCCCCCCAAGAGGCCGACCTCCACCCCTGCTCAGCCTCTCTGCCTCCTGCCAGGCCTGCACCACACGCCCCGCGTGGGGCCTCAGGGAGGCCCTGTCGGCGGGCGAATGAACGAGGTGGCCTGGGGGGCGTGGTCACCCCCGCCCCCCCACCCCCGCCGTGGGGGGATGCCCAGGCCCATCCCCACACTCAGAATTCCGCGCTGAAGAAAGGACACGAGACCACCGGCAGCACTTAAGATTCTGATTGTTTTTCTTTAAAAAACAAACGAGAAACCCCACGCACAAAACCCCACGACCCCCACCCCCACCCAGCCAGGTGCAACAGGTTAGCCACTAACGGGAAGAGAAGAGACATTAAGCCACACACGCCATCACGCGGCAGGCGGCCCGGCCCGGAGGACGTGGCCGCGACACCGACAGGGACGCGGACATCGGCCTGACGCGCCGCCACCAGCACCCTCTAAATCAGCGACGCGTCAGACGGGACGAGACAGCAGAGCCGCTAACAAACGCCCGCCGGTCATGACGGGGTTTGGTTCAAAAACAAACTGAGGCCCAACAAACGGGGAGCGCTCGGGGCCCCTGTCAGCAGGGGGTCAGACAGAGTCCCTGTCCCGCCCGGAGGGTCACCACAGAGGCGCCGGGTAGTGTCTGCCAGCTTGCGCGGCGCCTGGGTGGTCCCTGCCTCCCGAGGGGTGCCTGGGCCGGGTGGGGGGGCAGCTCCGGGCACGGCAGCCCGGACCCCAGACCCGCCTTCACAGAGGAGGTGCCAGCCAGATGCGGGGACAGCGCGCTTCAGAACTGCCTGTGACCTCCCAGTCCCCCCACCTCGTGTGACAGAGGAGACGTGGGACCCCAGTCCATCCCTCCAAGGTGATGCCGCCCCAGCTCCCCAGCCCCGCCACCCGCTCCCTGCATCCCTCCCACAGCCCCAGAGCCAGCGCTGCGCTCACCAGGGCACAGAGCAGGGACGGCCACCTGGCCCACTTCTCAGCCTCTGGGTCCAGCCCCGGCCTCGGGACACCTGAGGGCTCAGCTCAGCGCCTCCCTGGGGAGAAGGTGAGCGGGCAGAGACCAAAACAGGCCCACTGGGCGCCTAAGGTGCAGGCCTGGCGGGAGACGCTCCGTCCCGGAGGGCAGTGCTTCCCGCCCTCACACGGTGACAAGCGGTAACTCGGGGCGGCCAGCCAGTGAGGAACACCCCGGCCAGGACCCAGCTGCCGCCCCTGGGGAAGGCGCCTCGGGAACCGCAAAGACAAAAGCCCCCGGAGCCGCAGGTGGAGAGGTGGCCGTGCAGTGGGAGGAAGGGTGGCGGCCGGGCCCAGCGATGTGCTGGGGTGCTGGCCAGCTGGTGAGGCCAGTTCTTCGGGCCCGGGAGGCAGCTGCCTTGAGGGACTCCCTGACCAGGAAGCCCATGAGAGGTCACAGTGTCTGCCTGTCTCATCTGGTTTGTTCTAGAAGATTCCAGGTATGGGGCTTTGCCTGAAAAAGCTGTAGCCCAGTTCCAGTGTTGGACGCAGAGCAGGCCAGAGGTGGTGCTGCCCACGGCCATGTGTGGCAGGCACAGGGGACACCCGCGTCCTGCTGTGGCGCTGCCGTTGCTCAGGCTGGTGTCCAGGGCGGCATGTCTGAGGTCAGAGCCCAGTGCATCCTGGGTGACGGGGTCTAGCCCAGGCTGGACCTCTGCCGGGGGCTCCCATACGCAGCAGACACCAGGCCCGGGACCCGCCTTCCGCGGAGCGGGGCCAGCGTCACTCAGCTGTTCTGGTGACGCTCTCTTCTCTCTTCTGGGGACGGGAGAGGAAATCTACACTTGGGTCTTTAAGGCAAAGAGACCTAAGTCCCGAGATTAGTTTTCGCTGAGCCACTACATCTGCGACAGCAACAACGACAAAGGAAAGCCAAGCGTGTGGTCCGGGCCATGGTCTGTCAGTCAGCGCGACTCTGAGGTCCATGCACACAGCGAGGCCTGACTGTTGGGGCCTCTGCTCGTGGGACTGGAGTGTGTGGTGCTCAGAACCCCTCCCTGCCCGGGGGTCTGTGCCGGGACCAGGCAGGGGGCGGGGGAGGGGGGGCTCCACAAGCGGCCTGGCCCCCCTGAGCCAGTTATACTGCGAGGGCATCAGGGGAACCCTCCCGCACCCCCAAGTTTCTTTAGCAAATAAGCATCTTGGTGGTGTCAGCTTGACCTAAAACTTAAGTTAAAAAAAAATAATAGAAATAAACCAAGGTGGGAAGGAGAAGGGCCCAACGTGGCCCACAGTCCGCGGGGTGCCAGAGCCTCGGCCTCTCCTTGGTCCACCGCTCACGGAGGTAAGGATGGAAGTTCACTTTCTGGGACTAGATTCGTACCAGTTTTCACTGTGGCCCCGGCCCCCGACCCCGGTGGACGGATGGTGTGGGGCGCTCGGCTGAGCTGCCTGGATGATAGGACTGGAGGTGAGGTTGTTTTATCACAATCTTGGTGCGTTTTCTTTCCGGCAGCTTCTTGGCCCTTCTTGCTTACGTCTCCTGGGGCACCACCTGCATGAGCTTCTGGCAAAGGACCGTTGTGGAGACTGGTGGGGGAGGGGACAGTGGAGTTAGGCTGGGGGGTGCCCGGGTGACGCAGGCTGCAGCTCATACCCTGCCCCCCGGGGCCGTGGGCCTCCCCGCTGCTGGGCACCAGCCTACACACCTGAGACTCGGTGCGTCTGCCCCTGACTTCGCAGGGCCCCCGGCTGGTGCGGCTGAGGACTTGGCGGCAGGCAGGTGCAGCCCCGCCCCCACCCTGGTTTCAGGCCCACGGTTCTGAGGAACCACGATGGGACAGAGGGTCCCGCTGCTGGAGGGCTGTGGCGTGCCCTTCCCAAAGATGAGGGCAGACCCCGGGCCTGGCAGCGAGCATGCCCTCCTTGGGAAGACTGTGGCTCGCCTGCAGTCCTGTGGGGGGGGCTACAGGGGTGGGGGCGGCGTGTACCAGGGGCCTGATGGACACATGTCACCACAGGCTCTGGGAGCACTCATTCTGGGTGCTGACACCAGGAAGGAGAGCTTCCTGCTTTGGGCCCTTGGTGTGGCGGGTCCTGAAAGACGACCGACCGAGACCCTGTGGTCCACACTGGAAGCCAAGCTTCACCAGCGTGACCGAAGGTGGGCACCAATGAGAACATGCAGCCCACTGGCACGTGGTGATCACGGCTCAGGCCTGCAGAATGCCGGACTCTTCAGGGGCCCGCCACGTCACAGGTGGTTTGGGTACAGGGTCCAGAAGCTGGCCCATCAGCCGCGCCTGGACGGCGGTGCGGGGACCCTGCCTTCTCCTCCCCCGCCTTTCTGGGTCAGCTGGTGGCAGACAGAGGGACTTCATCACTTGTCACAAGCAGCCCGGTTTTCTGGAATCCCTTGTTCTGAGATTAGCCGCTGCTGAGCGTCTTAGCCCTGAACCACGTGGGCCACATGTCACTGCCACACATGCTGTTCTCCCCACCAGGGACACATCTCTCCTAAGTGGGCCGACCCCGGGACCCAGGACGTTAGGCGCCCCGCTGCTCCTGGATGGTGGGGTGTGTCGGAGCGCCAGGTGGCCCTGCTCCGGGGAGGGGCGCGCGGGGACGGACCATACTCACAGATGGCCCGGAGGAGCCACTTAGGCTTGTTCCTCCACCAGACCCCGAAGAAGTAGACGGGCAGGCCGCTGAGGATGATGGTGAAGCCGATGCCACACTCCACGGGGGTCTTCCAGAAGGACACGGCGATGAGGAACAGGCAGGCCAGGATGAAGAACACCGGCAGGGCCAGGTTCACCTGGGGGCGGGGCGGGGCTCACTCAGGCACCCCCTTCAGCACCCCGCGGTCACTGTCCCGGGCCCCGTGCACCCCGAGGAGAGTACCGCATCCACTGCGGCCTCGCTGGAGGCACCCCCTCCTGTGGCACCCCCCGCCCCCCCCCCCCCGGCTGAGGACGGCTCCAACCTCTGGGGCCCATTTGAGCTTCTGTCGGCCTCGCATGAGGCTGGGGGCTCCTGAGAGACCTCGCCTGGCTCCCCCTCCCTCCCCCCTCCCCCCCATGCGGTCACTGCTCTAAGCACAGAGGGCGCTGACAGGCCAACAGAAACAACCAGCTTGGGCCCTGGAAGCTTCCCAAGGTCAGGGAAGGTCAGCCTCCTCAGTTCCCATGTCACAGGGTGGAGACCCTGGCCCGGCACCCCTCCCGTGGTCACCTGGGGCGGGCTCGGCGCTTCTGGAAGGCTGCGGCCGTCTGCTAATAACACGGCAGCACCTGCCTTCTCAGAGGGCCCTTTGTGGACAGGCCGGGCCGTGGTCGGCACAGCGCAGGGCAGAGGAGCTGGGCCGGCGGCTCCGGGATGCTTCTGCCTCCCCCGTGCCCTCTGCGGCGCAGGCTCGTCCCCACGCCGTAGGAGACCCAGGGGACCAAGGATAAACAAGGGCCTCACTAGGTCAGCCCATGCTGCACCCCCCACTTGCCTCCATGGGCACAGAGGCTACCACGGGCCCCAAAAATGCAGGGACAGTGGCCACCATGGGCCCCAGAAAACACAGGGACAGCGGCCACCATGGGCCCTGGCTAACCCAAGGACAGCAGCCACCATGGGCTCCAGAAAACACCGGGACAGAGCCCACCACGATCCCCGGCTAACCCGAGGACGGCAGCCAACCCTTGTCCAGGCTGACGGTCAGGGCCCAGAGGGTGCAGGGCACTGAGGTCCCTGGTCCCCCCGGGAGAACCCCTCCTGGACCCTGCCAGCCTCTGCAGGACCGCCGGCTGGGGAGCCAGGGAGGAGGCTCGCCGACAGGTGCCGACGGCCACGTGCCACCAGCGGGCCACGACGGGAGTGTCGGGGCTCAGCAGGCGCCCAGCCTTCTGGTTCCCCTTTGAGAAGCCAGGTCACTCCTGGGAAGGTGACAAGGCAGAGGAGCTCCTGCCTTATGCCGGGCCGGCACCTGGCTCTCGCCCGGGCAGGCTGAGGCCGGGGTGGGCGCCATGAACAGGCAGACCTCGGGGGGGGGGGGGGGGGCGGCAGCTCCAACTCCACCCTGCACGGCACCCCCTGCCCCCTCCCCTGGCCAGCCTGTTCAGTGCAGCCCCAGGCCAGTCGGGGCCTCGCCCACCGGGCACTCAGGTTGCTTGCCTGATGCTTCTATCCCCCACCCGCCCCCTAGGGAGCTGGGGACTCAGGGGTCAATTCTGTCCTTGGATGAACCCCAGCACCTGCAGTCATGTGACAGCACTTAAGGGGTTCCCAACAGTCACCAAGGGAGCGAGTTCCCTCTCAGTCGAGAAGTTCACGTTCACCTTGCTCAATCCTAACCAGAATGCTCCAGAGAAGGTGCCCTGATCCCTGGCTCGCAGAGGGAAGTTGGAAGCTCAGAGAGGGACAGCAGCTGACGCGGGCACGTGCCAGAGGGCACAGAACCGACTGGTTCCAGCCCAGGGCTGTCGGACACTCAGACCCTGTTCCCAGGCGCCAAACGGCCGAAGCCCCGAGTAGCCCCGGGTTGTGCTGTAGCCCTCCCCCCCACCCCCCCGCGGCCAGGCCCTCACCTTGATGGGCGGCTCCCTTCCCAGCAGCCCTGGGTCATGCCGCAGGCCTGTGCTAGCCCGCCCCCCCCCACCCCGCCCCATGCCCACAGCCCTCCCGCAGCCAGGCCCTCACCTTGATGGGCCGCTCCAGCTCAGGCTTCTTGTAGCGGAGCCACAGCATCCCGATGATGGCCAGGGCCACACACAGCCAGTTGAAGAAGCTGAAGAAGTTGATGACGGAGAAAATATCTCTAGAGAAGGCGTACAGGAGGGTCATGACGCACTGCAAGCAGAGAAGCGGCCGCGGTGAGCAGGGCGGCCGGGATGGTGCCTGGACTTCATTCACAGCAGAGGCACGTGCGCCACTGGGAGCGGGGGGGGGGGGGGGGGGGGGGGGGGGGGGGACGACACGCCCATCCCCCCCTCGCTGCGGCGTTACCGCCACACTGTGCGGTCGCTGAAACAAATGTGGAGCAGCCAGGCTGCGACCGCCATGCGGTGGTTTCAAAACCGAGATCGACTCTGCAGGGTGACTAGGGGCGCCTGGGGGCTCAGCCGGTTAAACAACCGACTTCAGCTCAGGTCGTGATCTCACGGTCTGTGGGTTTGAGCTCCGCGTCGGGCTCTGTGCTGACAGCCCAGAGCCTGGAGCTGCTTCGGATTCTGTGTCTCCCTCTCTCTTTGCCCCTCCCCTGCTCACGCTCTGTCTCTCTCTGTCTCTCAAAAATGAATAAATATTAAAAAAAAAAAAAAGTCCAAAAATCACTTGACCCTTTTCTCTCCGAGAGGCCGACCTAAGCCCCATGCCTGAGTCGGGCTGGGCCTACGGACTCACACTCCTGACACAATGTGTCAGCAATGACGGAGCGGGACTTCTGAGCCCAGGTCACAAAGGACGTGGCAGCTTTCCCGTCGCCGTCCGCTGGCTCGCATGCTCCTTCCTGCGGCTGCGTGGGGAGCCACCTGAAGAGGCGCTTCCAGCGGCACGCAAGCCTCCAGATGGGACAACAGCCTCACCTCCGCCTGCACGACCGTGCTGCGGGGAACCCTGACCGGGGACCCTGAACCAGGGCCGCCCAGCCACGCTGCCCCGAGCTTGAACCCGAGAAACTGAGCCAACACACGCTTTCTGTTCCCGTGTCCTGCGGCTGGGTGGCCGGGGGGGGGGGGGGGGTTGGCCCCATAGCGGCAGGGAACTCATCACCTAGGGAGCTGCCTGTCAACAGCAGTCTCCTGAGACAGAGCTTTGGCCTCACATGCTTCAGACTGTTCTGAGGCTTTCTGTTTTACAGCTATTATGCATCATTTCTGGAATTAAAAAACCTAGTGCCCTTTGGTGTTCAGTGAAGCACAATGTAAGGAAACACTCGCGTTAACTGTTTGTGTCTCCGTGTCCACCTCCCGTCTGCAGCCAGCAGAAGGCAGGCGAAGCTGGAACAGGCTTCGTGTAGAAGGAATGTGCGGCCTCTCGCCAGGGAGCCCCCCAGGGTGGGCCCCGAGGGCCGCGCCAGCGTCCCATTTCGACTGGGGATGGAGGACGGGACGCGGGCGGCACCGCCCACCTACCGTAAACACGAGGGAGGGTACAGGCGTCAGGTGCTGCGGGTGGATCATGGAGAGGACGGAGGGCAGGTGACCCTCCCTGGACCCCACGAAGAAGAGCCTGTGGACCGAAGAGCGAGCGTTCAGCGTCCTCCCCATGTGCTCCCAGGCAGGGCAGGGAGCGGAGGGTCATGCCAAGCGCTGGGCTCCCACGTGGGCTTCTTGGGGTCCCTGAGGGGCACAGCTGGCAAAGAGGAACCTTCAGCCTTCCTCACATCCATTACCCGCCGGCCATCCGGCAGGGTTTGAAATGAACCCATGGAAGATTCCAGAAGGACACAGTTCAGTGTTGCCTGTGGGCAGGGGCCAGGGGGCAGGATGGAGCCCACCGGTCCCCTATTTCTGTATCACTGGGAGGTTCTGACAGCTACGTGTCCCTTGATGGGGAAAGAGGCGCTAGAGCACGCACTGGACAGTGGTGTGCAGGCACCGCCCCCCATCCTGCCCCCGCCCCCCACAGCCTGGGTGACAGGAGGCTGGTCCTGGTGTGGCCCCACCTGGAGGATGTGAAGAGGGACCCGTTGACGGAGCCGAAGCAGGACAGTCCCACGAAGACGGGGATGACCCAGGACATGACGCCGAGGTGATAGTTCCCGAAGTCCTAGGCAGACACGGAGCCTGAGCCCCCGGGGCCCCACGGCACCTCCCGGCCCGGCCCCTCCTGTCTGACCATTTCCTACATGCCCGTCTGACTTCTGCACAGGGAGGGAGCCCCTGGGGTCTGGACTGGGGGTGGGGGGAGGGGGTCCCAGGGGCAGGTCCTTGTCTGGCAGGGGGCCCTGGCCCCTACTCTCCATCCATACCTGCCAGCACTTTCCTCGGGCACCTCTCACGGGCACCCCTTGCCCCAGGCTGGCCGTGGGCATGGCCCCCCCGTCAGCACATCTGCTGCCTCCGGCTGGCCCCCCACCCCAAGTCCAGAGCAGGACTTGGTGTTTATTCAGAAGGTAGAGATGGGTGGGCGCTGCAGGGGGAGACCACCGGCTCTGGGGATCCCCCTGCGCAGTCTGGGGGCTGACAAGGTACTCAGTTGGCCGCCTCTGTGGGACCTGGAGATGCTGTGCCCCTCCTCTGAACCCAGTGTCCACGATGGCCAGCAGTGGCGGCTCCGGACACATCCAGGCTGTGGGTGTGGGAAGGCTACGCAGCCCCACCTCCCCGCGCCAGGGCTGGAGGCCTCGCTTGCCTGGCACTGAACCTTCCAGATCACCAAGGTCCGCAAGGACCCACCTTAAACCCCAACCCCGTACCCAGCTTTAAAAATCACCCAGTCCAGGGGGCGCCTGGGGGGGGGGGGGTTCAGTCAGTTAAGTGCTTGACTTTGGCTCAGGTCACGATCTCATGGTTTGCAAGTTCGAGTCCTGCGTCAGGCTCTGTGCTGACAGCGTGCAGCCTCCTTGGGAGTCTCACTCTGTCCTCTCTCTGTCCCTCCCCCACTCGTGTATTTTCTCTCAAAGATAAATAAACTTAAAAAAAAAAAAACCCAACTGCTCAGGCTGGGACCACCACAAACATGATGACAGAACACTGGCCAGGGGGAGGTTGGGCACTGACTTTCAAAGACCCCACGAGCGTCCCGTGAGCCAGGGTTAAAGACCCACCCTCACTCTTTCCTCGGGCTGAGCAAGACCCAGCCTGACCCCTCTGAGCAGGGTGCACTTCTCGGATGAGGGGCCTGATCTGCTCAGCCTTCACGGGCTCAGAGCCGGCCCAGTGAGCCTCCGTGACCCGGCCGGGCTGGGGTGGGGGTGGGGGGGTGGGGGGAGGGGAGGGCCCGTACCACGGCTACAGCCTCTGACGTCAGCATCTGCTCTGTGGACAGCGTGGTGAAGTAGGCCAGGTTGGTCAGCACATACACCAGGGTGACGATGGGGAGGGAGATGATGATGGCCAGAGGCAGGTTTCTGGAAAGAAAGAGAGGGCACATCATCAAAGTGCAGCCCGTGGAGCCAGACTGGGTGGCAAGGAGCTGGATGCCCTTCCCAGCACGTGCTGGCCAGGTCCCAAGCCTCATCGCACAGGGAAGGGCCAAGCGGCCACACGTCGCCAGCACGGGTAAGTGGCTGGAGGCGGGCCCCTGCGGTCGGTCGGCTGCATGACCCCAGGCTAGTGACTCCACGTCCCCCCTGGCAGCCTTGAGCCCTGGTCCGTGATGCAGGGATTCCTGCCCATCCTGAGGGGGACCTTGTTCGAGGTCACCACGTGGCCAGTGTGAGGCTGGACACCAACACCCACACCCCCGCCCCGCACAAGCCCTGCCCCCGAAGCCCGCCTGCCCTGTTCACACTCATACCTGTAGGGATTGATCATCTCCTCCGTGACAAAATTCAAGTAATTCCTAGAATCGAGAGGGAATTTAACTATACTTCCCTCCCACAATCATTAGCAGATTCCACGGGGCCCCCTCCTGGCTGCTCCGGGCCCCTGGGGACGAGAAGGTCCCCACACCCACCACCCGGGACCCCCCTTGCTGAGCAGCTGGGGACATGGGGGTGCCTACTGGCACGGAGGGAAATCAGTGCCTCCCCCTCGCCCCCAAGCAGCCCGTCCTCCACCCATTCCGACCCCCACCGCGGGCAGCCAGCACCGTCTCTGAGACAGGTGCACGGACCAGCCTGATGGCAGCGCCCTGGGCACCTCCACCCGCCCTGGCCCGCTTCGTGTGTGGATGTGAATGTCCACGCCACACACTCAAGGTCAGGCTCAGGCCTCGTGGAAAAAGATTCAAAGGCAGCCCTCGTGGGTTTGGTGTCCGTGTTAATGGTGCCACGCCACCGAGTGTGCCCCGAGGCACCCTGTCCACTGCCTGACCCTTTCCAGCACCTTCCTCACCTGCCTGCCCAGCGGCCTGCCACACAGCAGCCACTCTGTGGTGCAGTACAGCCTGGCCCGAGGGCAGGGGCCTCAGCTGAGGACCCGGAGGGATGGAAGGCACCAGCAAGGGATCAGACAGGCTCCTCGCTCCTGGTGGGGAGGCCGAGAACCCCCAGCTTGGTGCTCTGCCCAGGGCTGCTCCGGGGCCCTCTCCCTGCTCTCCTGGGACACAAGGGGCCAGCAGCGGCTCCCACAGGCTCTCCTGCCACTCCCCAGAACAGCGCTGAGGGCCCACCCAGCCTGTGTGGCCCCAGACCCCGAGACCCCGACAGTCTGGAACCTACCATCCCCCGTAGGCAAAGAGGCCACTGTACAAAGCCAGCACGATGTTCCCCACGTCCAGTTTGGTGCCCTCAAATGAGGACTTGGGATTCAGATTGGACACATCACCTGGCAAAGGCCAAACAGAAAGAATGCTGGGTTACAGAGCACTATGGAGACCACACCGCAAGCTCCAGAATGTTCCTGGAGCAAGATACCTGCCAAGCGACCTGACCCACACAGGATTCCCAAACAGCCCAGGGCCAGGAGCGAGCAGGCGGAGGTGAGCACGGGAGGTGAGCACGGTTGTGCTGTGAGCCAGGGGCCCGGCCGCCAGGAGGCCACGAGCCCACTCGGGAGGGGCGGCAGCTCTGCAGAGCCCGGGTTGTGCACGGTCCGTGTGCCCAGATGGGCGGGTGCGGGGAGTCAGCCCCAGTCACCCCAGAGGACACTCCCCACAGAGCCCATGGCACGAGCCCCGCATCAGGGGCGCCTGGGCCCGACTCTGTGCTCTCCCCGCTTCGGTGCTGGGAACGGGTGCCATCAGCAAGTGTCAGCAGGGACTTCCTGAAAATGACTTGGCTGGGTCCCCGGACCACGGCCGCACTTGAGACACTGAGCTGGGAGAGGGGCCACCGCCTCCACGAAACACGCCTGCCCCAGTGACAGGGCAGCGCAAGCCCCTTCTGGACAGCTGTCCTCGGGGGCACATCAGCCTCGACCTGCGACGTGGACACAGACCGGGCTCTGGGCCACTTCTCTGACCATTTCCACCTGGAGTGGCCCAGGTGTCCCTGGCGTGCGGCCACGTCACTCCAGCGTCTGCTCCGTGTCTGACGAGGACGCCTGCGTCACAGGATTTCCCCCCCGATGGTCTTGTCGCTTTCCTTCCCTGAGATCCAGCTGCAAGGGCCCTTCCTCTGAACAAGGGCAGTCACAGGCTCCAGCGGACGTGGGTTTGGGTCCACCACCCACCCCGGCACACGCAAGGTGAAACGTGGGGGTCCGGAAGGGTCTGTGGCTGCCAGGGCCCTTTACGAGGCTCAGTTACGGTATCCGTAAAACGGGCCTGCACGCCCAGGCCCAGAAACCCTTGCTCCCTGAGGAGGGCCACAGCCTGGCGGTCGCCCCCCATGCGTCTCAGATACGGAGACAAGAGCAAAGGTCGCAAGGGCCACAGCTGGTGGCTCAGCCCACCTGACAGTGGCCTGCCTGCTGGAAGAAGGACGTCCTGGGCTGGGTAGTCTGGGGGCCATTACTAACGATTCCTTGTGGGTCTGGATGTGAAGGTCTGTGTCCCCAGCCAGCTGAGGCCGCCGAACCACATGACCCGGGGCTACACAAGTGTCAATGTCACCCACAGCCAGTGGGTCTGCGGGCCCCCGGGGGATGGGAGGGTGGAGGGCGCCAGGGGAGCCCGAGGTCCCCAAGGGACAAGGTGAGTGCCTCAGTCACCCCAGGAATAGGATATGAAGACGGGATGGGAGGAGGTTTGCAGAGGGGGGCATGGCAGGGAGGTTCCCATAAAATCCATCCCCCCCCCACGGAAGCCTGAACCTCAAAACAGCAGGGGGTTTCCTGCACAAACACCGTGGCGAGGAGGGGGAGGGACCCCAGTTCCTGTTTCTGGATCCATCTTCCTACGGTGACCTGGTCTCTGCCCGTGGGCTTGTGCGTCCTGACCCCCAGGGGTGCTGGGCCTTTGCTCTTCAGCCTGGGCCGCGAGGTGCATGTGGGATCCTCAAGGCGCCTGCCCGGCCCCCGCCCCTGCACCCAGAGGAGGCCATGGTCTCGTGAGGAGACGAACAGGCCCCAGGGCGGCTGGCGCCGCACCCAGCCCACTGCCTGCGTGTGACCGGTGTCCGAGGCCCGCGTCCTGGGACTGCCTGGTCACAGGGTGGTCAGCAGGCCGGGCAGGCGGGGGCGGGGCGGAGCGCTGGCTCGGGACAGCACACCCTTCATCTCTACCTTACCAGAGCCTAGAGCCCCTCTGGGTAACCCCCACCCCCCGCAGCGCCCCAGTGGAAATGTTCCGGAATGTGTTCTCCTTTACACCTGAAGAGCTCTGCCACATCCCACAGCCTTGTCCACGTACTTTTGCTGTCCAACAGCTGGGGAAACTGAGGCTCGCGCCGCCCGCCCTGGGGGTGGGGAACTGCCAGCATGCAGGGGAACCTAGGATTGTGAGGTCTGACCTCAGGGAGTGCGTGTCCACACCGCCCCACACCTCCCAGAATGCCATGGCTGCCCCCGAGAGCCTGGGGCAGCCCGATGAGATGGCTCCTGGGTCCCACAGAGACTTCCGGGACATTGGTGCTCTTTTACAATAAAGGCTCCTCACAAGTACTGCAGGTTTGTCTCAAACCTGTAACTCTCACGTTATTTTGCCCAGTTTCCCTGCTAGAACACACCTCTCTGTATCCTGGTTATTACTGGAGTTAAATTTCTGTTTGCACACGCTGGGGTACAGGCTTTGGTGCAGGTGTGAGGCCCCAGCTGAATTAGAGACACTGTGTGTGTGTGCGTGCGCGCATGTGTATTCGCGTGTGTGTAACCTGTGCACAGCGTGTGTGCACGTATGAGCTGGAGACGCCCCATGTGGGGGTGGGGGAGGGGGGACTGTTGCCCTGGAGACCAGCAAGCACCCAGCCCGGTGCAGGACATGTGAAGTGTGGGTGCTCAGGAGTCCTGTGCACTAGGGTTCAAGTGCGAGCACAGGGATAAAAGTCAAGGCTCGAGATACAGCTGAGAAGCTGATGTTTTCAGTCCCAGGCCCGTGTAGCCTGAGGTTTCCATCAAGGGCTCACACACTGTGTCACCGGTGCAGCGCTCTGACACGCACACACGGTCAGCTCCCCGAGACGAACATGCCGGGGAGGAATTCCTGACGTAGAACAGTGTCTTCTGGGATTTACAGGCTGGATTTTGCAGGGTCTACGATGCCAGGAAAATACCGGCTGCCCTGACCAAACAGATTAAAGAATCTCACCGGGGGCCTCGCCAGGCCTCTCCCAAAGAGCCCACAAGGCTTCTATTCCTAGGACAAGTGTGGCCGGGCCATCTGCTGGACCCCCTCGGCCGTCCGTGGCTCCACCCGGTCTACAAAGTGCCTGAGGTCCCTTGGAGGAAGGAGGGCACCCCGGCGGCCCCAGACCCCGCAGCGTGGAGTGTGACCGGCAAGCCCCCGGCCCGAGACCCCGTGTGGGGTGGGGTCTGCAGTCAACCTCAGCCAGTTCTGGGCCGTCTCCCGCCCCATCACTGCCCTGTCCCCTCCCGCAGGCACCGAGAGCCCCACGGCACAGCAGGGACAGAGGGAGGGGTCGCAGACTGAGCGGCCCTGAGAGTGGCCGGCACGCCTGCGCCCCCGGCCCAGCTCCTGGCCGTGCTCGGCCTGGGCCTGTTCTGGACACCGGCCCAGAAGGGAGACCTGTGGCTCCTCCAGGCTCCTGACCAAGTGCCGGCCAAGCCTGCGGCCCCTCCTTCCCGACAGGCATCGAGGAGCGGGCGCTGGGCCCGCTGGCTCCGGGTGGCACTTGGCCTGGGCGGCCGCGTGGGGACACCAGCTGTGCCTGCCCTCACTGTCCTGGTGTCCTGCCGGGGCTGGAGCCCTAACAGCAGGCGTTCTGGAAGGAGGCTCGGAGAGCTGGCGGGAGGGCCGCCTGCCCGTCTCCAGAAGCGGGCGAGGCAGCCACCCCTCCAGTGGATGATGTGTGTCGGCAGCTGCAGGAGCCAGGCAGCGATGGTAGTGGGCGGGGGTGGGGCGCAGCAAGGAGACACGACTGCCCTGGGGGGGAGGGCAGATTCCCCCACGTGTGGTCTTAAACACTGAGCTGCCCACAGCAACCAGGGGACGTGCGGCCGTGGCTGGAGAGCTTGGGGCTGCCATGGCTGGGGTGGGGGCTCCTGAGGGGGTGGGCCCGCAGGGGCTGTGGGCACCCTGGCCACGCAGCCCCCACACGGCCACAATTCGGGGACAGACGCCCGGCTCACACGCCACTGCTCCCGTCGCTGGGGCAGACACCTTCCCTCCCTCAGACCCCACACTGGGGCGCACTGGACACGGGAGAATAACGACAGCCCCCCGGTGGTCACTGTGCTCCAAGCTGCCAGTCAGGCTCTGTCCCCACCGGGCCCCAGCACACCCTGCGAGCGGGAAGGCTGACGGCAATGGACGGACAGACAGCAGGTCCTGTTTCAGGCTCCAAGTGGGGGGAGGGGGGAGGCGGGAACCCCGGGACCCACAGCTTCCTGGGGTCCCCTGTGCCCGCACCCCTCTCTGCAGACCTCAAAGCTGCCTCTACCTGCTGCCCCCAGGGACGGCAGCATCCCACCTCGCTGGGCCCGGCCCTCCACTCGTCCGTGCTGCATGCCAGCCCCGGGAGCCCCTCTGCTCACGTCTGCCTGTCCCAGCCCTAAATCGCGGCCACTGCCAGTACCGTCCCAGATGGGCCGCGAGGAACATGCATGCCAGCACACGGCCAGACGTGCCCGTCGGCAGGCTGCGATGTCACAGCGGAGCCAGCCTCCCACCCACTGGGATCCCCTGAGGACTGGGGTAACTGGGGGGGAGGGGTTGCTCAGAGGCCCCAGGGAGCTGCTCTCAGGGAAAGCCAGCCCAGGTCCCTGCGTCACTAGGACGCAGCCATGGGAGCCATTGGTGTCGGGTGGGGGAGGGCACCCGGTGGCCTTTCTCCCACCAGGGAAGTGCACTCCGCCTGTGGCTCTGGACTGAGGACAAGCACTCCCCACAGGCCCTGCGTCCCCTGAGACCCAGCGGCCTCTGCGTGGGAGGGAGGCCTGGTCAGGCACTCACCGGGCCTCTGGGGCCCCGGGGGCCTGTCAACGCCCGGATCTGGAGATGGGCAGTAGGAGGCAGCTGCAGAAAATGCCAGAACCCCACGGCTGACCAGGCCCCGCCCCCACCCAGCGCTTTCCCACAGCTGGACCCGCCCGGGGCACCCCTCCTGGGACGGGGACACCGTGAGAAAGTCATCCCCAAACTGGGGAGTGTCCACCATGCTGGAACCTTCTACCTCTGGTCCCACTTTGTTCCTCTGGGGCTCCAGGGGCGGCCATTTATGTCAAGAGCTGTGCTGAACGGGCCCCCCCTAAATTCATGCCAGCCCAGACCCCTGAATGTGACCTGACTTGGAAAAGGGTCTTGGAAGACGGAATTAAGGTAAGGGTCTCGAGAGGAGACCGTAGGGGAGGGGAGTGTCCTCACAGGACAGGGACACACAGAGGTGCGGGGAGAGGCCGCGGGGAGGGGGCCGAGAGGGCAGCACGCTGCAGCCGCGAGCCCAGGGGCGACAGAAGCTTGAACGGACAAGGAGGAATCCCACCGAGTTTCAGAGGGAACGCAGCCCTGACTCTGGACTTTCGTCCCCCAGAACTGCGAGGGGACGACAGGACTCACTCCGCCTGGGCCAGACTCCCTGGTCTCCACTCTGTGCCTCATGAATGTGGCTGGGACAAGCTGTGGCCTCAGGCTCCTGCTCCGTAAAATGGGCTGTCACCCGTGGGGCCACCAGACCTCCAGGCTGCGAGTCCTCCATGGTGAGTCAGCTCTGCATGACCGCAGCCCTTAGTGGGCCTGGGGACAAAGCAGCGCCGGGTCCCCAGCTCGGTCCACACACCAGTGTCCTCGGAGAGGACGCGTCCAGCTGGTCACTCGTCAGGCTCGCCCGCCCGCTGCCCCAGCCCGGGCACGTCCCAGGCGCCGGGTGCCTCTCCTGCTCTGCCTGAGGTCTGCGAACGGCAATGGAGCAGGAATCTGGGTTTGGGGAGGCTGGGGGGCCGGTGCCTGTTCACCAGCGTCTGTCTCAGACGTCCCCTGTCTCTTACCGCCACCCCCCCCCCCCACCGGAGGAGCTGGCCCTCGGCCTCGAGATCCGCTGTAAACCTCAAGTCCCAGTTGGAAGGGGCCTGCTCCCCACCGAACAGGCTGCGAGAGGCCCCTGGGAACGGGCTGTGCCCCGCGCATGGCTCGGTGGCTGCCACCCCCCACCTCCCGTTCTTGCCGCAGCTCCATCCGCATGGCTGGCCTGTCCTGCCGGAGGGCGGCCCAGGCAGGCCTTGCGAGGTCATCTGCTAGGGCTCTGGGTGCTGAGTTAGAGGCCTGCAGCCTCAGAGAAAAGGCCTCAACTACAAATCATCAAAGAACACACACAGGAAAACCCACCGAGCCTGCCTCGCTGGTAGCTTGTCTTCCCGTGGTGGCCCCGTGACCCGCGGCTCCCGACGTTCAGTGAGGAGCGCATGGGCCACAGGCACCGGCCCCGGTGACGGCCCTGCCCCGCCCGCAGGTGACCAGGGCAGCGTGGAGAACCCACCCCTAGCCCTGCATGGCCCGTCAGTGTCCTGCAGTCCTGGCCCGACCCTGAGCCCCGCGGAAATGGGCCCCGAAGTCCTCTGTAAGGGGAGGCCAGGCTTGGGAACACTGAGGACGCCTGTCCCCTCCCTTTGAGGGGTGACAGCGCACTTCACGGTGCTGCTCGCTGCCAGGGGCTTGCCCGTCTGCCGGGACTGCCCCCACCCGAGACCCCCGTCACTTTGGGACGATGCCCAGACATAGGAGATGGTCTACACGGGGGCCGGGAACCTCCACTGTGGTGCCAACCACAGACAGGTGTCCTGGCAACTGGGGCAACCGTCCCAGCAGCGGGGTGAGCTCCTGTGGGCTGCTGGAGGCTCGGAGGGGGCAGGGGTCCGGGGGCAGGACGGCCTGGGGCACGGAGACTGCGCCTCCCATGACCTCCCCCCGCAGGGGCATGTGTGCAGACGCCAGAAGGAGGAAGCACTTCTATCGGTACAACCAGGCCGTCCACACTGGCCGCTCCCCCCCGACCTCCCCGGCACACCGCAGCCCACACGAAACCACAAGGGTCCCATTGTGTGCCCTCCGGGAGGGGCCCAGACACAGGGACCCACCCTCTGCACCAGCTCCCACCTTCTGGGCTTGGAAACACCCACTCGGCTTTGGGAACAGCCTGACCTTGGCGCCGTGGCCCCTGTGGGGTGTCCCACGCTTTCTGCGGCAGCTGCTGGGCCTGAAATGCTGACCTGAGTTCCATCTCCCCTGAGGACGCTGGGAGCAAATGCAGACACCTCCCCTGACGCTGGGCCTGCATGCTCGACTCCCCCCACCCCTCCACCAGCCGCAGGGTAGCGAGCTGCTCCCACACGGAGAGCTTGGCCCGGGGCCCCGCTAAGCAGTCCCTCTGTTCTGCTCTGTGCCCGAGTCCAGCCGCCCCCTCCCGCCCTCAGCCCTGGTCTGGGCTGGCGCCTTGTCCGCCCGTCCGCAAGTCTCCCGTTCATGTGCTGTCTGGGGTCCCCCCCCCACAGCCAAGCTCTGGCCAGCAGGGGCCACCGGTGCCAACAGAGTCACACTCAGGGCCTTGGGAAGTTCTCCTGAAGGACAAGGGCTCGCAGGTCCCGAGGTAACGAGCCCAGCAGGGGCCCCGGCCGACCCGTGGCCAGCTGGACTCAAGCCCCTTCTGGAGGGGGATGCTGGGGAGGAGCAGCGGCGGCTCCATGCCCGATGGAGCGGGGCGCCCAGGGCCCGCATGAGGCTTGAGCGCAATCAAACCACCAGCGTGGGGCCCAGGGCCTCCGCTGCCCGAGGGGAAAACAGTCAGACCACTGACTCCAGTGTAGAAGGGGATCAACGTCTGCAATGATGGGTCCCTGAGAAGGGCAGGCATTCATCAGGGAACAACATAAACCCTCAAAAAAAACCAGGAGACAGAAATTCTGCACACGCTGCACCGTTTCCCAAGTTCAGAAAGGAACTGCTCTGGGGGGCGGGGGGGGGCAGGGACGGGGAGTTGTTTTCAAAAGCAACACAATTATAAACATATTAGGGATTCTGGCTGAACAAAAGCCCTTTGCTGTCACCACTGAAATTTGTTTTTACAAAAGTCAGGTCGCCCCCTCCACATTCCTCATCATACCAGCCAAGCAAGTACCTCCACAGGCAAGTCTATCGAATGCCACATGTCCCGGCCACACAGGCTGCTCGGCTGCGTCCCACTGGCACCGGGCCAAGCTCATCACGAGGCCACAGAATTATTCAGCCCCGGCCAGGGTCCTCGAGACCCGAGGAATAAGGAGAAAGCTAAGGTCCTGTCTCAAAGAAGATGCTGGAAGCCGAGTCCCAGGACGGCTCCTGGAGCATTGCGGGAGGGGCCAGAGCAACAGAAGCCAGCACTCAGGCACGACCCAGCCCAACGACCCCCCTCGGGCTCACCCAAGGGTGGGTTTCCCAGGTGATCTGACATCACTGAGGCCGAGGCACTGGCGGGACACGCCCCCAGGAGGAAGTCCCCTCCAGAAGCAGTGGCCTGCCTTCCACAGCAAGTGATCTATCTGGAAACCAGGGGCAATTTCCCCTTCGATGCCGATGATACCGTAGCCCGTGGGTGCTGAGGGGTTCACTAGGTGCCCGAGCCACACTGAAAGCTCCATACATGGTAACGTGCTCGATAAAGACGATCTGCCCAAACCATGTGGATTCTCGCTTCCATGTTACTAGGTCAGTGTGGACCAGCATGTGGGCTTACCTTTACCCCAAGAAGAGGGCCCATGAGGGCAGGTGCCGTGGCAGCCACTGTAGCCCCATGTGCACCCAATTCTGCTGAATCATGTGCACCGCCTGTACAGGCCCGCGGACTCTGGATGCTGGGTCCCCATAAGTCGCGGTGCCCGGCGTGGCCATTATAGGGAGGGAGACAGGAGAGTCTGGAACCACCAGAATGAATTTCTGGGTATCACAGCCAGAAGCCCAGGGGATGCGGCAGGTACAGGGCCATTAGGGGTTTTCTACCCACTTAACACCCAGCTGGCCAGCACCAAAGCGTGTGAAGAGGGTGGACAAGACGGAGCTGCCCGAGGTGCCCACGCGGGGTGTCACACTGGAGAAGACCCGCACGGGACTGCAGCCTGGTGCCGGCGCAGGGCCTTGGACAATGCAGACCCGGCCGAGTGGAGCGGCTCGGAGACGCCCCAGGGACGAGACGAGTCAGGCTGCTGCCTTCCCGCACCCCAGCGCCCTGAGAGCACGCAGGGCGAGACCAGTGCAGAGGCCAGGGACACCAGCCGTGCCTGTGTGCCCAGCGACCTTCTGCGAAGGCCCCAAGCTGCCCTGCGCCAGCCCCTGTGGGATCTCTGCTGCCCCCCCCCCGCAACGTGTGACGGGGCAAAGTGCAGGACCACGGGGGTTCAGCAGGACAAGGCGCGGGGGCCGGGGTGCCCCACATCGTCCCTGGGCCGGCTACACTTCAAACGTGCCCTTAAGATGCGTGCTCCTGCGTGGGAGATCCGCCTCAGCAGCAGACCGACCAGAAGAGCCCCACCCGCCGCGCCCGCAGCACCAAGGTCACTCTGCGAACCCCCGCATCACCATCCGACCCCTGCCCTCAAGGGTGGGCGGGAGAGGGTTGGGAGGGGAGGGGGTGGGTCCGTTTCTCCCCATCGCTCGGGGCGGGTTTAACTCGTGGGGTGACATTCAGTCTTTCGCTCGAAACCCTGCCACCCGCTGGCACAGCAGACGTTCCGGCCCAGGGCCTGCGGGGACGGGGGCCCAGGTCACACTCACCCTTCCCGATCTGGATGAAGCCCAGGAGGATGATGAGGGCCAGCGCCAGGAGCTTGGCCGCAGCGAAGGCGTCCTGGACCCGGGTGGCCGCCTTCACGCTGTAACAGTTCACGGCCGTGAGCAGCACTGTGGAGAGAGGGCAGCAGTGAGTCCTGCGTGAGGCGCCCCAGAGCCGCAGGCTGAGGAGGGAGCCTGGTTCCCACACACTTGACACTCTCCAGGCCCAAGGTCAAAGGCTGAGAACTGCACTTCTTGACTCTCAAAAAAGCTACAATCCCAGGGGCGCCCGGGTGGCTTAGTCGGTTAAGCGTCCGACTTTCGCTCAGGTGATGATCTCGCGGTTCGTGGGTTCGAGCCCCGCATCGGGCTCTGTGCTGACTGCCAGCTCAGAGCCTGGAGCCTGTTTCAGTCTGTGACTCCCTCTTTCTCTGACCCTCCCCTGCTCACGCTGTCTCTCTCTCTCTCTCTCCTAGAAATAAATAAAAAACATTAAAAAAAAATTAAAAAAAAAAAAAAAAGCTACAATCCCACAAGCCCCTGGGCTGCCCTAAAGGATTTTCAAAGGATGAATTTCAACCACCTATGGGAGGCCACCAGCCCCCCACCCACCTGCTGCACACCCGAGTGGCCCCGTCTTCAGAGCGTAGGTGACAGATACATGTTTGCACTTGGAGGAGGCTGTGCTCACGGGGTGCACCTCTCATGGGTTTAGCATAATTTAGATGCCCACACAGCCCACCTAACTTCCTGGAGGCAAAAAACTAACTTTCTGCAAAGAGAACCTTCTAGAATCCCAATGAAGAAATAGGTGAGATGCTAGCAGCACGAAACCATTTGACAAGTCAAGTGATGGCATCATGGGGCAATTCTGACACATGAAATGGGGACTGAAGGCAAGGCCACAGCCCAGGGTCAGGCGGGTACAGCTGGGCCCCCACCCCCGCCTGGAAGGGAGGGGACATGGGCTGCTAAGTCAGGCTCCACAAACTCGCCGGACAGCCGCACCCAGGCTCTGCCAGATTCCCCGTGAGACCCCAGCTCTGAGCCAAAGTGGAGGCACCCGTTCACTGAGACACGCGGGGGTGCAGGAGACACGGGTAAGTGCTTAGGGGCCTCACGGCCCCTCCATAAACTTAGAGCGGAACAAAATTATACTAAAACACAGGAAACAAATACATACTCGCCACCCAGGCCTTCCGATTCGCTGTTTCTAACTCACACACGCTCAGGTGGTCTACACCGCATACAGATGCGCTAAGGGCGAGTGCGTGGCGCTCCGGTCCCGGCTCCGGGCACAGCACCCTCACGCAGGCACTTGAAGGGGGCTGCGCGGGGAGGATTCACACCAGGAAATCCTGGGAGCACAGGGCTGGTCCTCACACACTGACCGGCGGGGCTGGAGCTGGGAGGGCTCCCCCCCCCCCCCCCCCCCCTTCTCTGAGGGCTGCAGCAGAGGAAGCTCTGGAAGGGTCTGTCCAAGCACGTTTTCTCTTTTCCAGTCACGACTTACCCGGGGCCAGCAGACCCCGGGGGCTCCCTTCCCAGCTAAAGTTATTAAACGTGATTTTACAATTCGGGGAGTAGGACCCAAAGAAATAAATCTGTGCCAATTAAATGGATGAGGCGGTTCAGTTGGAAGAAAAACAGGAACTCTCCCCGGCGAGCTCTGGAGAAGATTAAGCCTCCCGCTTCACCCGCCACCTGCTTATCGCTCCAGGAAATTAACTGACACCTTAACAGCACCCTCCCCCACGCCCATTTTCCTTCGCTGCTCTGAGCCCTGGCTGATGCAACGGCGGCCAACCAAGACGGGGCCGTGCGCTAAGGGTCCGGGTGGAAACCTGTTCTGAAAGCAGGTGGCTGCCCTTCCTAAGCTGAAATACTCAGGAGTTGCCTGCTCTGGGCGTGATGGCAACGAGCTGTGACCTCTGAGCCTGGCACTGGCCCCGGCCGAGCCCCCTGGGCTGCTCTGGTTCTGCACCTGCAGCGGCCAGGCTCGCAGGGAAAAAGAGCTGCCTCGGGGGGTGGGGCGCCCACATCACAGTCCTGGAGTAGGAGCCCGGCCGAGATGGGGGACCGATGTGTGCACAGGGCAACCAGCACTGGTGACCTTCGCCGCGTGGCCCCGGGGAGTGGGCACAGGCTCCGTCCAGGCCCTCAGGTCCAGCAGGGAGGTGGTGGTGGTGTGTTCACCATGTCAGCACCACCATTCTCAGCACAGAAGACAAAACAGAGGCTCACAGCGGCCTCCTGTGCCAAGATATCAGGGGCAGACCCCCGCACAGACTCTCTGGGGCCCTTCTGACCCCGCCCCAGAATCACAGTGAAGGGCAGGGCCAGGATGAATTCCCTCTCCCCGCACTTCCAGGGAAACGCTTCAGTCCAGTGCTCACTAGTACTGGCCGAACTGCCGCGTGGCTGGGATCCAGGACGAAGGGCCCTGCAGGCGAGCCCGGGCTCAGGGCTGCTGCTTCCTGACAACGGTCGCAGAGAAGACCTGTGCACAGCGAGGTGGGGGGGGCCCGGCAGGGGCTTTTCTGGGACTGCCTCCTGCTTCCTCCTGGGAGAGTGTGACCACCTGCCGGCAAAGGGCAAAGATCTCGGCGCTTCCTCAGGGGCCCAGCAGCGAGCAGTCCCAGGGCGCGCATTCGGCAAGAGGCCGGCCCATTGCATCACTCCTCCATTCATGCCCCGGGAGGGGGAGGTGTGGCCTAGCGGTGGCGGGAGCGGCTTCTCCTTCCGCCAGCCCTGCCCCCTCAGCCGCACCAGCTCTCGATGGAAACCGGAACGGCACTGCCAGGCAGAGCGCAGCCGGCATTGGCCGCTCCACTCGCTCCTCTGGGGTCTCCCTCCCCACGCCTCCCCCCACTTCTCAGGCTCCAGGACGGGGAGCGGGCTCGCCCAGAGACCCCGGCGGGCGCTCGGGCCGTACTACTGCGGCGTCCTCTAGTGCTGAGCCGGTCTCGGCAGTCACTGGGGCAGGAGGGAGCCCTGCCCGCGGCCAGACCTGACCCGCTGCTCCAGCTGGAACATCCTGAGCCCCCCCCGCCCACAGGTGTCAGAGCCTCACTTCCCAGGAAGGCAACTGGAAGTCACATTCAGCAACCGCAGGCGGAGGGGGGGCCGGCGGCTGCGGGCTGGAGGGGAAGGGATGGCTCCCAGAACAAAGGGGACCTTGTAATACTCACTTCTCTTAAATAAAGGACGGAAGCATCTGATGAAATTTTCATGTTCACTTACTTTGGCCAATGAGTAAAAAAATGCTTGAGTATCCTCTGTAGCGTTCATTTTTAAAAAACAGTTTCAAAATGAAATATAATCTTAAGTAAATAAACGAATTCATCCAGGACCCACTGTCCTGCGGCCTTAACAGAAGCAGCCCCGGGGTGGGCTGGCCAGAGGGCTGGCCATGCGTCTCGGCCACCCTGCCCTTAAGCGCCTCCGCCTTGACGAGATGCTTCCGGAAAGGGGGACGTGGGCATTCTGGGTGCGGGAGGGGAGCCCTGCAGGTTAGCTGTGCTGTCCCTGTCCCCACGGGCCTGCACCCTCCCTGGCCGGGCGAGGACAGGTAACCACGGGGCACCGCCCAGCAGGCCGGCTGACAGGCAGATGCGCTGTCGGGGGGCTCCTCACACTGGCACCCCCAGATAGGCACGGCGGAGCTGGAATGCCAAGACGGCTGGGGCCGGGGAGATAAGCAGGCTCTGGGCTGCCTGACAGCCAGGAGTGCATGGGCCCGGCCGCGGGGGCCGCAGCCACCCCGGGGGCCCGTCCACACCAGGGGCTTGTCCTTCAGGGACGTCCGTCCCATCCTCCGTCCTGTGGTGACCTGGGCCACCTCACAGGCCAGCAGGGGCCCCACCTGCAACCCCAGCTCATATTCGGATGCACCTCGAGGGTGGGTGGTGCTGCTCAGCGAAGGGGGAGGGTCCCGCGGCCTCACAGGACACCAGGACACCCGGTCACAGTTTGAGTCCCCTCCCGCCCCCCCCCCCAGCCTGACTGACAAGGTGGCTTCCATTCCTGTCTGCAGACTGCCTGTCCCAACCCCAAGCACAGTGTCCTGGGGGTGGGGCCGCCCTCCTCCTCTGCTTCCCCATCTCAGGTGGGGACCCCTGGGGCCGTGAGTGGGGGACATACTCACCACCAGCAGGCAGGCCACCTGCCTCCTCCGGGCCCTGGCCTCCACCCCTGGGAGGGGGTCATCTGAGCCGGACCCAGCCTGGCCCCACCTGACTTCTGGAAAACAGCCTGTTAGATGTACTGCTGGCTCGTTCAGCTGTTCAGCTCGCTCGGAGGGGAGGGTCAAAATGCAAGGGGAGCTTGTTTTCGTTTAAAAACACCAAAAGGACACAGGAAAAAAAGCACCCATTGTGGGTCAGGTGCTGTAGGATTTATCAGGCCCGGTAACCAGGGCTATACTTCCTGAGGTAACAACCGGCAAGGATCCTGATAACAAGAACGGTGTATGAACACCTGCTGTATGCTCAGCCTCTATCACTCGGGGCCCTCAGCGCACAGACCACCCACCCCCTCCGCTGACTGGAGGTCAAGCACACCAGGGGGACGTCATGAGCAAGCCCAACGGAATCATCCAGAAACACGGCATCTGGCTACTTGCCTGGTACCTGCTGATCAGGAAATCAGTCCGATGTCCCCCCAGGCGGCTACAGTGATGGACCGACCTCGTTCCTGGCCCAAGGGTCTGAAGGGACTGTCCACCCGCCCAGGATGGAAGGACCCAAGGGTCAGAGCCCCCAGCCTAGACCTTCACTGCTTGAGTCCCGCCTCAGAAACCCAGGCTCCTCCGGTGGGTTTCTCTAAAAAGAAGGTGCTTTCTGCACACGGTTTTCAGGGCCCGGATACAAAGGCCCAGTGCTGGGGGCGCAAGCGGCGCGAGGCCTGTGAGCACCACCACCTCACACAGGTGGGGGCCAGCTGGCAGGAAGCGGCCAGATGGCACAGAGACGCCAGGCAAATGAGCACTGTCTGACCGGAGCTCCCCGGGCAGGCGGGAGGCAGGAGGGGAAGTGGCCGTCAGGCTGTGTCAGTTCCAGGAAGCTCAGCCAGCCTGGTCCCCCGGGGGTGCGCCCAGGGCAGCACCGGGCCAGGGAACAGAGCGGGCC